CAAACAAGTCCAACCAGGTGGTCACAACCCACTATCTGCACAGGTGGCCATCAGCCAACCGGTCCATCGGGGAACCTTACAGCACTCAGCAGCTTCGCCCAACAGCCTAAGCTGGACTGGAAACATTTAATTAGACCTCGCCCAACCTGACACAGGCCCAACCAGTGCTCGCAGGTGCTTCTCCCCCCCCAATCAGCCCCCCCCAAGCCCCACATACCAGACGCCCCCGAGCCCATCCAGCCCCCCCAGCCCCTCAGACAGATCAACCATTCGACAGCCACAGGACAGCATATACCCAGCCCTGCCAGGCAGCCATTGGTCTTGGCCATACGAACATAGCCCCAACCCTTAGCACCGTATAGCCGAGGAGGGCCTACCAGCCACAGCCAGGAGCCACGAAGGAGGCAGCACCAACACCTGAAGGCATCGGCACCAGCCACACCATCCAACCCAGCCAAACCAAAATCCAACCCAGTCGGGAAAGAGTAAGCAGAGCCAGCCAAAGCCAGCCCCACAGGTCCGGCAACAGGTACGGACTGAACAACAGGCCAAAGGCATCCCCAACTGACGCGACAAGAAGGGGGAGGCTGAACGAACAGAAGCAGACAAACAGAAGGTAGGCTCCACTTACAATGGATGAAGCCGCCAACCACAATCCACAACCGAACTACCCAAACGCACAGACAATGCGAGTGTCTGGCAGCCAATCATCCCACACCACCCCAGGCAGCAATGAAAAACCACACCAGGGGGTAAGCTTTCTCAGGGTCAAAGCCATCCCTACTGTAGCGAGGAGGAGAGACCTGGCTGAACCACTGTAAATGCGGCAAGGACAAAAACTCTAAGGGAACAGTGATAAACAATATCATAGGATTCTGACCGTAGAAACATGTAGTAACGAGGAGGGAGGGGCCGGCAAGGCCCCCTCCCTACTACATTGATGCGGCCAGTACGACCTGTTGATACTTGGGAAGGTCATCAGTCTAACCTAAGGGCGTTTTGTATCGTGAAAACTAAGGACTTCGTTAAAACCCAACAAAAGACATAAGCTGGCCCAAAGAATGACACGGGTAATCCCCCCAAACACAATGTTCAATCCCCCCAATCAAACGCGAAACCTGCGAGTAGATGATAGACAGAAAGCCGTAGACATTTTACCGAAAGGGGCTCGTAAGCGACCATGATGAAGTGCTCGAAGTGACAGCATCGTGAGAAGCCATCAGGCGACGAAACAAGAAGCAAACAAGTAATCCGCCATGCAACGCCTAATAAGCCTCAACACTAAAGACCCCAGGAACTACTGAGCAAACTCAGATATCTCCCCCAGAATCAAAGGCATTAAGGCCCATGATGAGGGCGAAAGAAACGCTAAGGGGCGAAGCGACAGCAAGGACAAGGAAAAGTACTTAGAACAAAGCGTAAAGAACCTATCCTCCTTCGCTATACTGGCCTCCTTATATAGTGTTCTTCCCACTTCAAGTCTTGTAATCCAAAGTGGTCACACACGTAAAACCAAATTATAATAAACTAGTCATATCACCAAAGTAGTCACATGCTCAAAACCCATGACCTTGTAGTAACGTCATGTGCGAAAACTTATAAACCAATTATAATATAATAAACAAGTCATATGACTCCAAGTGGTCACATGCACAAAATCCATGACCTCGTAATAAAGTCATGTACGAAATATAAGTCATATGCGCAAGGCATACCCGCAAGGCATACTTGCAGGACATACTCACCAGGTGCAAGTCCTATGACTCATAATCGAGTCATGTGCGAAACATAACAAATCATAACATAACAAGTCATACAACCTAAATGAGTCATATACACAAATCAATAACATACCTATAACTTATAATCATGAATCCTGTGAAAATCTTTTCTGTGCCAAGCCACATTCGTGATAGTAACACTTAATATCTTTATTTAGTTTCATTTATACTACACAAGAACTAATTTGTGTATTTAAAGACCACCTGATTCTACAATGGAAAAGGCAGACTTTTACAAACTGTATTTCACTATACTCAGTTGAACAGTTATTTTTTAGTTTTTCCAGTACACCTTTGAAGTCTTCTTTCATTCTCAGCCCTTGTCCCCTCTCTAGTAGAGCAGGCTACCTGTCAAACTATCACACACTATCCAGAAACATGATTAGCATCTTGAGGACATGTTACAATCTAGCACTCTCAGACAAGTAGTGCAAGGTACCTCTTTTGGTATTGACAGAAATGTTGATAATATGATCCTTGATTACGTTTTCGCTTTTAACAGTAATAATATTGAGATAGTAGGATGATTGAATAACTTTCTCAATATCTTCTTTGACCTAAAGATAGGTCTAATCAACTAAGATAGTATGCAAGAGAAATAGACCCCATGGCTTATAGGCTGGTGAAATCTTCTAAAACAGTACAAGAAAGTATGGCGATTGTGTTACTTTAAATAGAAGATTGTTTATATAGATTGCTAAGATGAATGAGAGATCAGCATTATGCTTTTCTACAGGAGAAATCTGTTGAACTCTGCTGGTAATACATTTTTGACTTACAGCCAAGTTTGTAGTTCTAATGCTGGCCTTGCCTTCAATGCTTATCTACTCCTAGTACTTAGCACAGTTGGATAAATGCTTGTACTAACATGTTGGAATTTTGGTAAAGGTCTTGCCACATCTAATATACTGAACCAATTCAAGCTATTTTACCTTTAGTAAATTCAAAATGCAATTCTATTAAATAGTTCAAGAACTTACACCCACTCGGTAGAAGTGTTCGTGAAACATGTCTCAGGTGACTAAGCTACCTCTGGCCTCGCCAAAATACCAACTTGCAACAAGGATGATCATAATCATAACGATTCAACCTATTACAACCAACCATTTATACAATTTCCACCAATCAAAGTCTCATTTTCACGATTAATTCCCTTGATCTTTTTTACCAATGATTAACCAATCTGGAAATTCCAAGCATGTGGCAACAAAAAGACTCCCACCCAAAATCTTCTTTAGAAAAATAAGCTTTACAGAGAAGGGTATGATAATCGCCTTTTTCTACAGCCTCCAGAATGTTGCTTTAGTGACTCAAATTATTGGATGGCTTTGGATAACAGTTAATAGCTTCTTTTTCCGGGCATGTGAGCGCCAATCTCTAGAAAATCTTCCTTGTCCCAGTCACATACATATTTTGAGTCATCAGCAGCATTGTACAATGATTAAGGCTGCCAAATCCAACCGGAAAATGATGAGATCTGCATTTAAGGATAAATATGCACCTAGTGTTTCTCTTGATACAGGTAAGTCTGTACTACCCTGAGTGATATGATATGATTCTCTAATATATTTGTCTGCAGTGGACCGGGTACTCAGAGAGACAAATATTAAACAATTGCTAACTAAGTCAAAACCCAGGCTGAAGCCAGACCATGTTGCTAAGAGATTGAAGTGGGCTACAGTTCATAAGAACTAGACAGTTGAGGATTTTGAGAAAGTGATTTAGAGTAATGAGTATAGTGTGAAGAAATCCAAGAATCCAATACAACAGTGGGTATTTAGAGAACCTGCAGAGAAATGGTTGGCAGATTGTATACATCCAAAGGAGAAGGATAAGGGAATATCGCTCATGGTTTGGGGGTGCTTTTAGGGTAAGAGACAAGGTTCCTTAGTTCCAATTACTCAAACTATCAACAAAAACAGATATATCAGACTCTTGAGAAGGCATCTTTTTCCTGTTATTCATCAAATGATTTCTTTTAGTATGCAAGATATCCTGTTTCAGCAAGACAATACTCCAGTTCACAAAGCTTATAGTGTAATGGATTGACTAGAGAGAATCTTTATTGAAGTTGTAGAACATCCTCCTTATTCCCCTGATTTGAATTATATTGAACATATATGTGTTGAGCTTAAAAAGTAATTGCACCAGTAGTATCCAAGGATTGGAGATACTCCAGGAGGAAAAGAGGCTGTCAGGAGAAGACTTGCACAAGTATTACCATTGGTTTGGAAGACAATCCCTGAGGAGTTCTTTGAGAAGTTGTGGAAATCAATGCCTGATAGGATAGCTGCAGTATTGGAAGCAAGGAGAGGTTATTCAAGGTATTAGCTATTTCATTATTTAATTTATACTACTAGTACTTTAATATTCTCATGAGTTGATCGTCCACTACCAGTGTTGATTGTTGATACCGAATGTTGATCGTTTGTCCATTGACAACTCCAAGGTTGCCCCACCATATGCCCCAGGACCTACTATGGCGCAACTGCAATTTTACTTTGTCTCAGATCACAAACACTTCTGCCAAGTGGCTGTACCTTCTTACCAATTTCAGGAGCTACAGTCTTGAAAGCACTGTGAAGTTGTAGGTTCTTTGTATGACCCATTTTCACAAAGTTTGAGTTTTCGTTCTGAGTTGTTCGTACAAGGTGTGAATTGTGCTACTTAAACTATTAATCTGGTGTTTGAGAGAAAATCTGCTACCATAAACTCAGGGCAAAATCTAATTTACATCTTATTATCATTAGGTTAGGGCTTAGCGCTTATGATTTAGCGTAAAAAACTTTAAAGTACATATGTATTGAATGTATGGTATAAAATCTTTGGTCAAAAATTCCCCCATATTTTGTAATAATATACGTATTTATAAAAGCCCTACTCAGAAGTAGACAAGCTCTCCTGAGGTCATTGTATTGATAGTTATTATATTGAGAGAAGAGAAGAGAAAATTAAAAATCAAGGTCCTCGTCCATAACAGGTAGAATCACATGCACGACCCAAGCCAAGAAATGCAACGCCTAGCTGAGGGGTCTGGCGGTTTATCAGAGTCATTGATACTCAGGTATTGCTCTGACAGTCAGTGTTTGGTACAGAGACAAGGGCATTGTATTCTAGGACACCTTTTTGCCTGTGAGTGGCTAGCTTTCGCCGCCCACTGCTGAAATCAAAACGCCGAGAACCATCGCTTCCAGACATAACACGCTTTGCCTTCGCTTTCTCGTTCTTTCCCCCCTTCAACTCTCCATCAAAACATCTCTTATCAACACAACACCTTTACCCTTGCTACTTCTAGGTTTTTGCTACTACCACTATTTGCTTTTAACTTCTACTTTTCCGTAGATTCGGTCCATTTGACCATGACAGATAAACTCCCAGCGAACCTTCTCGCGCTTTTCGCGCCGAGGCCTCCTCTCCGTTACCTCCCCCACTGCGACTATGCTCCCGACAAGCGTAGAACTGCACCTATTACCGGTGTCGCTGCTTATCTCGAAACCCTTCGTACTCCCGACCCTGACTATGTTCCGACCGAGAGTTGGATGCAGAGGCGGGATCGCTTGCGCGAGGAAAAGAAGGCTGCGATAGCGGAAAAGACAAAGGCTGCGCTTGTGCAATGTACGGTAATCCCTGTTCCCTCGTTGCTCCCTTTTTGTGCCTTGTTTTTAATATGTTCTCGCCTTTTTGTTTCTCGTTCCTGATTGGCTGAACATCTTGTCACAGATAATCCGGAACATGATCCTCAGGTCCGTGGCGATCCTTTCAAAACTCTCTTCTTGTCCAGGTTGAATTACAATGTTAAGGAGCCGGACCTTGAACGTGAGTTTGGCCGCTTTGGGCCTATTGAAAGAGTGAGTTTTTAGTACCGCTTCAGCATCGATCTCTGGAATATTGATACTGACCATTTCTTTAGATCAGGATTGTGCGCGATAAAGAAACTGGTAAACATAGGGGGTATGCGTTCATTGTTTACGAACGAGAGAAGGATATGAAGGGTACTTTAAATTACAAACCCCCACCCCTCACCCCCACCCCTTGGTCACTGTGTTCCATTTTTTACACCCGATTCCAAGAAAGCGGAGCGGGTGCGATGAAAAAGAATTGCGTTTCCGTGGTTTCACGCCTCGTTTTTTTTACTCGCTATCACATGTCTCCTCCCACCCCATACCCTTTTTGCTTTATCCGCCTTCTCTCCTCTGTTTTACCCCTTTGGTAGGGAAATAAATTTAGAAGGAAAGTATGAACAGTAAACTGACAAGATGATTTTGGATATTTTTTCCATTCTGACCGATACAGCGGCTTACAAAGAAACTGATGGGATCCGTATAAAGGACCGCCGCGTCCTCGTCGACGTTGAGCGTGGCCGTACTGTCAAGGGCTGGAAGCCAAGGCGTCTAGGAGGAGGCCTGGGTGGTAGGGGATACACCAAAATTCCTGTCACACGACCAACCGGTCCATCATATTTTGGTCAAGATGGCCCAAGGGGCCCAGGAGGGTTCGGTGGCAGAGGAGGTGGTTTCAGGGGTGGGTACCAAGGAGGTGGGTTCCGTGGTGGCCGTGGGGGAGGCTTTAGTGGTGGAAACAGGTTTGAAGTCGGGAGTGGCCGTGGACCCCGCGGAGGTATTGGCTACCAAGGAGGTGATAGGGGTAGTAGAGGACATGAGAACGGATACCATGGTGGCCATGGTGAGGCACCACCCAATGCGCCCACTGGGCCTGGCGGACGTAGAGGCGGAGGTGGTGGTGGGTATGGCGGTGGAGGAGGCGGGTATGGTGATGGTGGGCACCGCGGTAGTGGTGGGGGTGGTGGGTATGATCGTCATCGCGGTGGGCACGACCGTGAAGGTGGAAGCGCTCGGGATAGGTTCGCAGACTCTGGAAGGTATAGCGGTCACGGTAGAGATGACAGACACGATGACGGCGGATATTCCCGAAAGCGTGCGTACGATGGCGGGGAGGGAGGATACGGCGGTAGCGGCGGCGGCGGTGGAGGTGACCGCCACCGTAGAAGATACTAGGAGAAATCCCCCCCTTTGAAAACCAAACACGCTCGCAAAAGGTACGTTAGGGGTAAATAGTGAGACTCTAGCATTCGTACAACCTGGCAACTTCCTTCTCTCTCACCTCCAGCAATTAGTTTTCGATGGCAAGACCTATACTATAACTTACCACCACTACTGCTTCCGGATACATCCCTCATTTATTCATTTTTCCCTAGGCTTTTTTCCTATGGAATGGGTGGTAGGCAATGAGGTTGAGAACAAAAAAAAAAACACCAAAAATAAGGCATTTTATATTTTTTATATTCGTGTTTTCCCTTTTTTCTTCCTTTTCACTCTTTATTTCTTTATCTCTTCACCCCCTTTCCCCCCTGCTTCAAAGTTAGGGGGATGGTAAGGGCAAGCTTGGTGAGTCAAGTTAGTTTTCTGCGCAAAAGTTATAAGCGTATCATACCGTATATGATATTTCTGTTCTGCCATGCTCTGCGGTTGCCGACCCTTCTCTCTTTCTGTTCCCCTCCAGTATAAAAATTGTCTTCCTCACATGATTACTATCATATCCCAGGGCACACCCCTTATCCTCGGTTTGTATTTCTAGTCTTTTATCATATTCCCCACCCCCCCTTTTTTCTTTTCTTCTGCAATATTCACTGCTATTATTTTTGCCTTTGCCCCCGCTTCTTAGCTTATGTTATGTTTTCTTGTGTTCTGTATCTTTGATATTCTATGCGTCTGTCTTGTCTTCTTAAGGTAGGTGGTGGGTGCGTGGGTGGCACGTCTCTCTGTGCGCTTGTTTTACGTGTTGGATGAGATTGGGTTAGGTGACAAGTTAAGTATGGTACAAGTATCGCCGTTATCATAAAAACAAAACAAGATAAAATAAAAACGATGCATTCTGGTTATGCTAAGCTAGTGCTTGGTGAGGTGCTGTACTGTACGGTAATTGGGTGCTTTTTTGTTTGATAGAAATCTAGTTTACGAGTAATTATTGTCGGGCGAGTGATATTTTTCCAACCCAGTTCTTGGCAAACAATGTTTGGCCAGCTATCACCAAATCCACTGCCCCCTTCTGCCAGTAAGGTTATGTAAGTTAGACCATAACTTGAAGCAAAATCCCGAACCCCACCACCGTACGTCCCCGACTTCCCACGGCACAATACCGGTACTGTAGGCAGCCCGCATCCATACAGTATATCATATCGTACCAGGGATTGCCGCACCGGTTACCAGTATCCCCCGCCGCGTGGCGAGTGCATGCATGTATGATATGCATGCTTCAAACTCGCTTTCGTGGCCGGTAGAGTGCGTTGACTTGAAGGATTTCTCCTGGGTTGACGGATGTGTGGATATAATAATATATCATGGTGATATAGGTTACGGCGGAGTTGGCCTGTGCTGATGCGGGGGGTGTTGTATCAAAATTTGCTATATCAATTGTTTGGGGGGGTGGGGGGGGGGGGGGTATGAAACGGTGACATGAGTGATTTCTTGTAATAGCGCATTACGGATACGGGGTCCTACTTACAGTGTCGGTTAGTCGGGTTACCTTAGTGCTTGCTAATGTTATGCGTGATACTTTTTTTTTTTTTTTTTTCTTCTTCCCACGGATTGCACGGTGCAGTGTGGGGATGGCTCGAAAGCTCGCACAAAACCTCTCTGACGGGTTCTGGCAGAAGTCTGGCCTTGGGTGGAGTCTGCGGTTGCTGCAGACTTGAACGGGTTATATATATCTTGTACTGTGCTAGGGGTAACTAACTAACCATTCATGCCCGTCACCCTTTTTTTGAGAGAGAGTAATGTAAGTTTGCAAGGATTTTGATGGCGAAAAGCTGATTTCAATGTTAATGGCCACCCTCACTGACCAATTCGGTCAGCTTGGTGCTAGAGAGAGTCTCCAACACTTCCAGAATTCGCAGTGGCTATTCAAAATCAAAGGAGTACTTTTATTATTATTATTATGCACAAGGGCCTAAATACATAGTATCCAAATCACATAATCAACCCCCCTAAATTGGGTGGAATATCATATTCTGAACTAAAGTGGCCTCCAAGGGCTTGGGGTCGGCTTGGGATGGCTACCGGCTTCTAGAAGAAGTAGGTGTGGTAGGATATAGTACCTTGGCTTTTACAGTACGGAATCACCGTGCTTCGGGGGGAGGGGGGGGGGGGTATGATAGGTGTGGTGATCAAACTTCCAAACCTCCTTGTGGCACTGGGGGATTATGAGTGATTATTTGTGATTGCCCCAATATTTACAAGCGCTAATAAAAGTTCAGACGCCCCATAAGTATATTCTCTTTTTTCACATTCACTACTCTACAAACACTCCGCACTTCCCAAGCTCCCGAATGTCACACCGGTCGTCATCCATGAATAAATTATTCATCATCCCTCTAATCTGCCTGTTTACCAGGATCCCCGTAAAAAATAATAATCTAGAGCATATCGATCTACCTGACAACCCTACAAAAGAAATCAAGAAAGAAAAAGAGCAACGCCCAAAAGATAAGGGGAAAAGATACGAGAAGTGGGGAAGGAAAGGGAGGGAAAAAAAAGCTTGCGCCCTGTAATTTCAGCTTCCTAGTTTCAACTCCAAGAAACGCTTACAGCTTAGCTTTAGTCTCTAACTCGCTCTCCATCAACTCCCTCAAGTCGTTCGCAGCATCGGTGAGGTAAAACTGCATCCTCTCGCACCCTTGCTTCTTTGAGACAATATTGAACTGTAGGTTGTTCTCGTTAATCATATAGGCGATTCCGTAACCTTGGTCGATGACTTGGCTCCAGCCATATCCATTGAAGTACTCACTGGACAGCTGAGAGGTTGAAAGGAACCAGCTGGAGGAGTACCCATAGGCGGGATCAGCGTAGATCTTGGGCAGGGCTGCACCGGGGGGGAGGAGCTTCTTCAGGCCGAAAAGGTGGCGATCTACACCCTTGCCTTCCGAGGCGGTGGAGATGTACACGACGTGGGCGTTGATCGCAGCGCGGAAGTTGGAGATGCAAGTCTTTGGATCAGTGTCGGGGTCCATCATCGACTTGCACCAAGCTACGCTTTCCTCGGAGACTGTGCGACAAGTTTCTGTCCGGCCTACTTGAAATTTGCGGGTGGCAGCCGATTCGTAGGTTGGGCGGTTCTTGCCATACCTGTCATGGGATCAGCTACGCTTGGTGTGAGGGTGGAAGGGGAGAGGGGTACATCTTGTAATAGGCCAACTGGATAACCATCTGGACATAGGCGTCCGGCGAACACTTGAACTTCTTGATCAGGCCCTTCCCGTAGCCTAAGTATGCCAAGACTTTCAACTCATGGAGTCCAATAACATCTCTGAAGTTCTGCTGAGCTTTATCAATGGCTCCGATGATATCCTCGTTAAGCTCGAAATTAATGGGCACAGGTTCTGGAAGATTGCTGCGGACATCACCGACAGCGAGGTCAATCTTGTTATGGAAGATTTGGTCATTGAGGTAATCGTTGAGACGGTGGGTGGGGGTACCATCCATCATCGAGTGCTCACCCATGAATCCTGCGGTGCCATTCTCATTGATGATGAACTGGAGGGGCTTGTCGAAGAAGCGGTTTTGACCGTCTCCGTGCCAGTACTGGTGCGCACGCTCCTCGAGGGTAACTGGAGAAGTATCGTCTAAGCAGACAATGAAGGATGCGGACTCGATAAGTTGAAGTGCCTTTTTGTTTTCCGGAGAAGCCTCGATCATCATCTTGCGGACCTCGGTCCAGGTATCACGGTTCTCACTGGTTAGGGCACCCACAGCGGGAACCTTCTCGGCATTGGCCAACTCCAAAACCCTAGCAAACTGTGCTTCGAGCTCCCCGGTGCTAAGTTGAACTCCATCAACTTCATGCAAGACCTTGTAGAACCTGTTCTTCCTAGCAACAACAAAGTGCTTGTTGGACTCATAATCGTACTTAACAGGGTAGTCGGCCGGCTTTTCTGGGATACGGCAAGCGTTGAACATCCACCTGTAAGAGTCCATGCAGATGGGCAACCCGCGCATATACTCGGGCTCTAACGTCTTCTCATCGACCATCTTCTTGAATTTGAGAACCGAAGTGGTGATAGCGGCCGCACGCTTTACCGGGTGCCTACGCTTCTTGTCATCCTTGTAGGAGTAAAAGTACGAGACATAAGGGACGACGGGATCACGGTAGGAGAGGTACGCAGCATCGTTCCACCAGTCGGATAGCCAGTTGTTGACTTCAGGGTTTTGGGCTTTTGCGAGAAGCTTCTCCTGGAGCTGTTGACCGACTCCACCTTCTCGAATGAACTCTGCGACAGCTGTCTTGGTCCTTTGGAGCTCTTGTTCTGTAAGGAGGGGCTTGAGGGACTTGACGTATCGGTCGGCGGTCTCTTGCAGTGTCGGTACTGGAAGTTTTGGTAAAAACTTCTGAAATCGAAGCATAGGACCTGCGTATGGGTCTTCCTGGTAAGCTGTGTAGCGCGTCATCCAGTTAGCCATTTTCACCCAATTAATCACAATAATTAAACTTACTAGTAGGAGGGGCCATGTTTTGTCGTGCGAGACCGGTAGAGCTCAGCTTCGCAACGGCACTCACAACCTTCGCAGGCTGTTTCTATTATAAAAAAGAGGGTTAGTAGGGTGGTCCTTGCTAAAAAAAAAATTTGTCGGTTCCATCATATGTCCGTCGCTTGCTTACCTGGGGAACGGAGCGGTGTCGGAGCGAGGCCGAGGTAATGGACTTGACCTGAAAGCCTCGGCTAAACACGTTCGAAAACATCCGCGAATCGAGTAATTCTCGCAGCAAATTTGGCGAAACGAGAAGAGGGACCGAAGCAGAGTTTAAATGCTTCAGGGTACGGCCGAGTGGAGAATTTTCGGGTGTGGGGGAGGAAGTGGGGAAGGGGGAAGAGGAGGAAGAAATGGATGATATTGGCGGAAGGTAAATTGTCCATCTCTCATCCCGTGATCCAGAGTCTTTCTTAGGTGGAGAGAGCATCATCACATGCACAACATCCTTCCCTTCATCTTCTGTGTCACTTCCGCTTGCACTGCAACTCGTACTTCCGCCATCACGATTATCGGTTACCCGGAAATCTGGATTCTCAGCCCTAGATCCTGCGCGGCCCCTGATTTCTTGAGCCGCTGCCTCGGTTAGCGCGTTAAATTGTTGTACGAACAGATTTGCTTCCATTTTGGTGATCGTTTTGGACAATCGGGCGGTAACGTTGTATCTTTCGGGATAATTTTTTTAGGGATGTATGAAGATTAATTAATTGACTTTGGAGGATTTTGGTTCAAAAAGAAGCGAGTGATGATATGTGAACTAACACCATACAGTGTGGGTAGGGATGGAGTCCCTCTTATACTGGCATTCTTCGAGGGGATATCTATTCTCCAAACAATATGCCTAACATCTCCGAGAGAGCAGTATCCGTGCTTCTAACTCCTACATCCCACCGCGATATCGAATTGCGTTTTGTCGGAAGGATGCCAAACGGGTAGATGGGACACCTTCCTTTTGGCATCACCGAAGTTCATTCCCCGTATCCGCCCTTCGGAGGTTAGATATGGGGAAGGTGACAGTGATAACTTGTATCCATTCTGCCTTCGAAATTGGCTCCTTTCTGGTATTATTTGGTTGTGCAGTTGTTGCTTAGGTCGCAAATTGGCCTCTAGTAATGCACAAAGAAATCGTGTCTCTCTAATTAGGAATATTGAGTTTTGGCTTCCGGTTCTGGATTGGGAATGATTTGCTATCCTTTCCATCGCGGGATTTATAGGAATCACGGTATACAACTAGCAAAGCTTGTTGGTTGGGAACTATAGCCATCGTATCGGGAGATTCCTCCATTCAAAGACTCTTAAAACTCTCCGGGGTTATACAACGCAAACAGGCCCTGGGTATAGAATTGTATATTCTTGAGAACTGGCAAATTTGATTCAATTGTCACAATACCCTCTCATGGCCAAAATAGAGCCTACTCCATAATATCATATACACTCACAACTCCGTCAAATTCCCCCATACGCACTAAGTATAACAGTCTCCGACGACTAAACCCTTGCAAGACCATGCCCTGCCAACGATAGGTCTTCCTAGGAGTTTCGTTTTTGTGGAACGTGGAAAGCCTAGCGGACTGATTGTCACATTTTTTCGTCGGGGTGTTGGGAATATTATAGCCTTCCCCGAAACCACCCACCCTCTTAAAAAAAAAGTTATCCCTCCAAACATTCCGGAAAAGCTTTTGCTGGGGGAATGCAGGCACCCATCATCGGGTGGGGGTGTAGCGTGTGATTCGCTGTACGGTTAGCCAAGTTCCAATCATTCGTGCGAAGTTGCCTTGTTGTGCTAGAAACCGATTCCAGTGATACTCGAGTTGCCAGGGCATGCAGGGTTGCTGTAGGGCTGTGGTTATCGCACAACGGATATGCGTCACATTCGGAACCAAACCGGAAAAATGGTAGCAACGGATTTGGTTGCGGTGACCTCCGAGTAATCACCCAATTAGGTGGGATCAGAGTATTGTTGCTCCGGGAAACGCTTCGGCGCACTAAAATGTACGGATAGCATTGATTTCTGGGGCAGTGTCACAACCGGATATAGGGAGTGATTCGCGGAGGTTGTTTCAACAGTGGAATGAAAATGAAGAACGGTGTCGGGTTGGGGGGAGATCTGGAGAACCATTAATCGGATGCCCAGTTAATATCATGAACAGGGAAATGACTTGCACGTGATTACTCTTAGATACGAGATGTTGATAGCACCTTCGTTCGATAAGTGTTGGTACTTGTATATCTCGCTCGCAGAGGCTCGGGGTATGATTGGAGTTTTCCTTTGTGAAATATGCGCAGTCAGTGGAGATGCTCAGAAAATACTCCGTGCCATATTTTTTTAACTCTACATCTACTGGCGGTAGAAGTTTATAAATATATATCAACCTTCCACATTCTTCTAGTATAACGAAATTTCTACGAAGTATGGCACCCTTGGGCGTGATGGAGCTGATAAATTGTGCTTATCGATTATGAACACTGGGATGGAATGATGCAAAGCAGTTAGGCTCCGCTCGGGAGAGGTTTGTTCACTCAACCCCCCCCCCGTGCGGGGTAGGTTGCAACCCAGAGCCGTGGAAATAGGCCGAGAATTCGGAAATGATAACTCAGTCCCCCAAAATCCGACGATCAAATTAGTATCGTAGCTCACTTACCACTCCACCCACGGTAGAGCTGCAGGATGTCGTGCCAACTAGGGACGGTGGAGTGTGGGTGGTAGGGTTGTTGGATAAACTTTTTATCTTTTCATACCAGTTATTTAGGTCCGTTGGCTATTGTGTGTGCTGAACGGCCGAAGGTCGAGGAGGGATATGCTGGTGGCTACCCTCGAGGACGAACTGTGTGATGGCTAGATTGATTGTCAAATCCACTGGTGGGGTAAACTGGGTCCTTTTGCGCCTTCAGCCTGTGCATGCTCCTGGTATTGTGGTGCCCAGGAACACTAATATTAGCTTACTCGAGTAGTGTGTCTCGGATCCTCTCATCCCCGGCATCGTAGGTGTTCCTCCTCTAATCTTTCAGTCACGTATCTAAATCCTGTATTTTGAGATCATAGGCATAACATACCTATTCATTCCTTTATTTCTGGTGAAGTCGGGTACTGTACCTGGGCTTCTAACTGTATGAAGGTCTCGAAGCTATTTAGCACGGAATCTTTCGGGGTGATGGTTTCCGGCATGCCACCCAGAAAGAATCCCGGAGACGGTGCTCTCCACTTGTCCCAGATCAGGACCTTGGCGTTCCTTCGCATACGAGTACTTTACGTCGGGAGACATTGGGGTAGTGTATGTTGAAATAGTACCCTCGCTATGTACTTTCTACGTCTTTCGTCATGGTCTGCAGCCACCCGAGCTCAATTAACTCACTCGGCTTTCCTTTCTTGCCATTGCTCAGTGGACTGATGGAATATGCTAGCTGTTCTCACTCGGTCTTATCTTGTCTTCCGTACTCTGCGCTTTAAGCTCCTTTTCTACTGCTATATTATTCTGCTATTTCACTGTATAAATAGTGGGTCTTCTTGACCCTTTCCGATGGGCAATCAGGTCCTTAAGTCTCTCTACCTCAAAGCCTTTTGCATACAGTACAATCCATCCACGAATATACAACACATGTCAGAAATTATCTGGCGAGTGACATATCATGACACAACACGAGCCTTCGGTAAAAGCAGCTATGATACCACATTCGTCCACTGCAGTCCTACCTGCTATTTTGAAATACACCTCATATTCTGCACTAGATATCCAGTATTGGCATATTTGAAGATCTGACTGGCAGTTGTCCCCTATTTTCCTTTGGCTTGGAGACACGTAATGCGAGGTAACTCAGTTTATTTCCTCGTGTCTCTTCTAGCCATCTGTTGGACACGCTATTGTATATCTAAATATGGATAAACTCAGTGATTTGGAAACTGTCACAGCACTTAGTGCGTGCCAGGGCTCTAAAGCGAGTGCAGCACCATGCCAACAGTCTTTAGAAAGCTCGTGGAATGTGTACTCGAGTATGCTCAAGTGATCCATATTAAATTACATGCGCCTGTTCATTCTTTATCCCCTTTTACCTCTTATACCTGATGGCAAAACTCGGCATCCCCGTGGTAAAGAGGGGGCCCATATTGGCATACTCGCGATAATGCGGTGGTGGTGCCAAATGTCAGCTTGACCACCCACCACGGCCTTCCACTCATTACCACTTTCCGCTACGAATACTCAAGCTTTAAGAAATCGACAAAGAGCGAAGTGCAATCTCTCCATCCCGACAGCAGCCCCATGATATTAAAATCAACCCTGAGTTACACACCATGAGAGTTTATCATACCTAAGACTCCTGGCTTGTCGAATTTTGACTCTTGAGACCTACTCAGAAAATATCGGGATCTGCCGTGATTATGCTTTTGAACTCTGGGTCAACTATAGCCTTCTAACATCAAATTATGGCTAATATATGGGTTGGGATTGTGAGTCAATCTTTCTAACACAAATACCGTAGCACATTTATACGGGGGTCCCGCACCTAAATAATATCATTGTATATTTTATTAGCAACGGGTGTTCGGCCGGTAGGGGTAAAAGTATGGAATTGGGTATAATGACTACCCAATTTGGTATCATGGCTACCCAATTCACCCCTGACCCCGTGCTAGCCCAACACTCCTCTCTGGTGAAATATACAAAACTTAGGTGCTATACCTCCGTACGGTCTCTATCTTACCTTCTCAGTCGGAAACGCCGATACCCCAAAGTGGGATATGACTGAATGTGGGCCATTTCATTTTGCTCTACATAACCTGGCCCCGTTTCAAGTGTGACTGCAATACAATAGGACATGTCCGGGTAGGTAGGTCGTAGGCGTTAGCAGGGTGGCTAGGAGCCTTAGAATTATGGAGGGTTTCTAGTGGATATAGGTACCAGGTGTGTTCCTTGTCTCGTCAGAGCATCTTCAGCTTAGCGTGTGCACTCAACCATAGGGAGTCGGTTCTGTTCCCGAGTGATAACTCATGCCCCAAAGCTTCAGTTTCCGAATCGAACCGGGTAACTATAATTGACCACGTGACCTGTCTCTGAGCGAAACACCTTTGTGATAATTTTGTTTGGCAGTTGACAAGCAAATTTCCTCCTCCATTTGTACTCGTAGCACAACCCTTGAGAGAAAATTTCTCCGTCTGCAAAGCGCAGAAGGTCGCAATAGCCGACATGAAGGCAGTTATCAACCAACTGGTAAGTTTGTTTATTGAAATGAACAGGGGCATATGCACTGACAGGCTGTTTAGGCGAGTTCAACACCGGGATGGGTTGAGATCTACTCGCACCGCTTGCTCTTGCCTATCTATTCGACCGCTCGTGAACCTAGAAAAATGTTTTTTTTTTCTTTTTTCTGCTGTCAGCAGGGCACGATATAGCCCCTACCGTATATCTTGTCCGGAGAGGGACCTATGATGGTTGGGTTTTGTCGCTGCAAAGCGAAGTCTCGAAGTGCGGCCATCCCCTGCCCAGGTCGTTGCAATCTCGCATGCAGAATGTGTAAGACCTATGGAAAGCCCTTAGGCCCTGGTTCCACAACGTTCTAAATGACACTTGAATACCGGTATAATACTAGGATTGAATGGATTTCGTGGATAGGTTTACCCGCCGGGAAGTTGGTTATTTTGACCAGCTATGCCGGTGCATTGTTTTGAACAAGCCATTGGTAATGCTCCTGGCGTTGTCCTTTGGCCCGATGCGGGGGTGAAAAGACGGGAGACGGGGCGGATATGTATGCATCAGGCTGCCTTCACGATCGTTAGGGTATGAACTGAAACGATGATCTTGAAGTTTTTTCAGCTCGAGTTGCGAATAATTGGGAGTAGCATTTATGATTTGTTGAATCAGCAGGGTCCGGAGAGCTACTGCGGCTCGAATTTCGTAGCATCTTGCCCCCGCCGGTGGGCTCTGCTACTCCTGCGGTGACTATGGACAGAAAGAAAATATAGAGACAAGTGCAACCGTGAACAAAGGAAAGAAAAAGAAAGGCCCGAAATAGGTACAAAAAGCAGAAAACACCTTAAAAGCAACCAGCCCCCAATATACCAAAGTCGAAACAACTGGTTAGAGTACACTCCATGAAAATGCTGCCAACAGACCTACTCCGCTAATGAAAGATGATAGACAGGAAATATTAAAGGAATATATATGAAGTCATTCGACAACGTCGACCTCTTTTTGCTCCTCTTCGCCCAAGATCATGGCGTCGCGGTATCGTTGCCCGAGGGCCATTCGGCCGTTCCAGCTAAATGGATCGAACTTCATGTATTTCTCGGTATCTTTCACAAGTCGTTTGATGTCCTTGATCTCATCACCGATCCCACCCACAAGCTTCTCGACAACACCATCCATCAGGGCTGTTAGCCTACTTTCGAAGGCGTCTTGTGCGTCTTGGCTGTTTAAGGGGTTAGCCTATCATCCCATACAATATGGCTGGTTTGGAGCTTTATCACACCTCTCACTGTCGTCTACTCGCACTCGGATGCTCTTCGAATTATCGACAATCACCTCTGATTGCTCCAGAAGTGTGCTTATGCCCTCATCCATTCGTCCAACTATATTTTTGGATAGTTAGAACCGTTCGCCGCAAATTGGCCGGGTGCAAACTTACCACGCTGCTCGAGCAAGCTCATCCGGTCAAGGATTTGCTCTTGTCGTTCTGCTAGATCCTTCATAGTGCTCTGCATCTTTGTCATCGCAGTGAGGATGTGTCGCATAACCTTGGTATCCGCATTGCATCGGTCGGGGCTAGTGGGTGGTGTTTGCGGAAGTGAATGTGGGTTGTGCATGACGGGGCTTGGTGGGAGGTGGGAGTGAGCGAGCATCGGGCTCACACTTGGGGGTGTCGGGTTACCCATAGGGCCGAGGTGGGCATATGCCATATTTGCTGTGTACGGTGATGGGTATGAAGGTGGACCAGATGTTGCTACTCCAGGGAGTTCCATCTGTGGCATTGACATTCCGGGCATGGGGTGTACACTTTGCGGTGGTGCGCCGTAGTTGTTGTGTGGATATATATAGTCTGTGGGATAAGAAACAAAGGAATAACTGGTGGTGCTTGGAGGTGTTGGTGCGTGGGTTGGCATGACTCCTGTTATATAACGTCTGGCCAGTGTTTACGACGGTTGAGAAGCTCTATAGCAACTCCTGGCGGGGTAAAAGTTAGATCTTTGCTTCAAGGTTCACCCTACAGGCAAACGCAGGAATCGATTCGCTAACCGAGAAAAAGATAAATGGATTGCAGTCGGTTCCTGCCGACGAAGATTCACGAAGATTCGAAGCCTTAAGCGCAAGCAGTGGAAAATTTCGATCGAGGGCGATGATTTGTGATGCGAAGATTTAGTTGAGCTATTGATCGTAGGTATTGGGCGTTTACTTGATCGGACTTATGTTGCAGGTTGTTTCAGGCTGTGTGAGGTCTGACAGCACCAGAATAAGAGCGAGCAAAAGTTTTTTCTTATTTCGCTGAGCTGGTCGTAAGATTTGCGTGGTATGAATGGGAAATCCAACTTCAGACGAGAGTTGCTGTGGGTTTTCTTATATCCTACCTAGGTTTCGAAAGGCGGGCAAGCAGTTGAGCTGGTAGCGGCCGCAGGCCACTCAAGAAGTGCCGCCCCATTGGTTAATGCAGTTCAATCGACAATGACCACGACTTGGGGAGGGATTGGTTAGGCTCGCATCAACAGTGTCCAGGATATTTCTCCAGTGGGTTAAAATCAAGATGGTGTGAACTTGTGGAGTTAAGAAGTGCAGCCAAGGATAATAACATAGCAAAAAGAACGACTATCGTGGAGTTAGCGAATTACAAAACACGCATTCCGGAGAAGCGCATGCACTGCCAACCGAACTACAGCAACCTTGCAACTTCGACGGGAGACACACGGCACAAACGCTGAAGATAAATCATCTCTCCTCACAGGCCAGTATCTCCTAGGTCACGTTCTGAAACGGAAAAGAAGAGGTCCTACAGAGTCGTTGTATTCTAAGTACCGGTACTTACGAGAGAGGGAATGCGCAGACAGGCGTGATGGTTCTTCTCAATAGGATGTAACTCGCAGGGGAGTTGCGGCTCTTGGTGACGCACGGGCCGCCCCCCACGTCTGGCTTTTTTTGTCCTCAGAAAGGTTGTGGAACTCCAACAATCCAAATCTCGCGAAGTTAATGCCCGACTATGCTTTGGTGATCTCCTGGGGAAAATTTACAGTTAACTTATCTAGAACTTTAAAGAAAAGAGAGAACGGATGTTTGAGCTTCTGGCGCTCCTTCACGCATACACTTCGTCACGATCTGGTCATGTCTCCGCCGCGTGCTGCATTTGTACAGCATGGCCAGCCCAAATCCAAGCAATTAGAATGACCTCGTAAACGTTTTTTCACCTCCACGGACTAAGCTGAAAAAATCAGGGTTTGCATGTTCGCAATGATCTATCACAAGCACGAGAGGAGCACGAGGGAGCCACAGCATGGTGGCGAAATTGATTGGATTGGTCTCCTAAATCTTCGCATTTGAGGGTAATGGATCTGTTGGATGAGAAATCTTTTTCTTGCCAGCCAAAAAAAAAACATAGAGGCCAATCGAGCGGAAATGCTAGCTTATTGGGCCATTGGGCCATAAACTTGCATTCGGAGGTGGAAGAAATGGACTGCTACTAACCACCTCTAAAACCAAACTGCAGTTTCTGAGCATCGGCGGCGCTTCGACGGTTTCTTTGCCGTGAGAGGATTCAAGAGTTTACCCTTCACCTATCAGGTTCGGTAGCTAACCGAAAAGCAAGAAATACAAGAGCGAGCCATGCCACCGCACCATTTGGTGGTGCTGCTGGGAATAAGTCAAAACACCAAGCCTGGCGCCATATTCCGTGAACCCCACACTGACCGCTGGTCTCAGCTTACCCCAACAGCCTCTCACGCATGCCTTCCGATACCCTGGCGAACATGGCCCTCCGGTAAAAAAAAAAAGCTGTGTTAAACAAGCTGGAGTTGGAAAAAACGCCAGTGAAGTTACAGCGCAGCTTCTCAGCAACAACCTGCGGCGTGTCCCGGGTAGCTTTTGCAAAGATTAAAGCGTAACAACCCCACAAAGATGTCCATAGTGCCTGTCGGATATCTGCCGTATCACGCTCTCCACTTTGTGCCGATCTGTACTTAGGTATTCTGAAGAACTCAAAGTCAGGGTCTTGCCCCGCACGCTACAGAGACGAACAGATTTGAGCCTTCTTTTGCCCCACCGGGCATTCCATCCATCCACCTTGCTCGCTTTGCCCGTCCAACAATTCTGCCCCCCGAAGGGTGTAAATTTCTGCCTCACTGATTGTACGCCCTACAAACAAGCAAAGGTAAGAGGTGCTTTTTTAAATTATTGGCCTTGCCGTTTGACACCAACCAGATAAGGTAGTTTTACTCCAGCCCATGAGAGCCGGCCTGACGAAATGCTTCAGAGCCATGTCATCGCGTTAATCGTTATTCTTTTATTAGGGGTGTCAGGACTGGTGGTTTGGGCGGCCTTCGTGCTTCGATATTTGATGGCGACCACAGTGGTCAATGAGGAAGAATGAAGCACATGCTTATCTCATCGAACCGAGTAAGCGACACCGTATGCTGAGGGAGGAGTTCTGTATCTGGCATGATGGTATGATACATGTAAAACGGTGTGATATTTCGGTTATGGGTGGTATAGGGTGGGGAGATTGTATCATAAGTTAGAATTTGCGGCTGCGGTTCACTGGTGCACTGTTCTCGGGTGCCATACTGTGATACGTACTGCCGTATCGTACTGGCTGCTCAGGTTGCCGCTTGAGCCGCGGTCGGTTCTTGCCCACTGCTCCGTTGTCTGGAGATTCATAAGGGAGAACGGTGCAGAAATCGAATAGGAACAAGAACGATATTACTAGAACAAGAACAAGTCATCCGCATCCCGAAGGCTGTGGAAGACCGATTATCCTGCGCATAATGCGCAGCAAGTTTATTTATTCATTCCTCCGCAACATATGCCAAGGTGGTCGAAAGAGAAATCCCATCCATTGAATCATTCATTGCCAATCCTCTCTCACTTCCTCCCTCCCCCCCCCTCCCCGTAAACGGGCTTTACCACCACAACGGGATAGATTGTTTACCAGTACGTTGCTCGGCTGAGAAGGAAGTTAAGTTGCGATACCGTAGTGGAAGAACAGAAGCAGAGAAATGTACCATACGCTAGGACTGGTTTTCAATCGTTCCTTCCTCTTTCCTCCCTCACTACGCTCGTAGTCCTCGGAATCGGTAGCGGACTGGAGGAACCGGCAGGGGGGAATGGGCAACAGAGATAAAAAGTTAACCTCACTTACCGGTATCATACATCACATACTGTAGCTTCTTTCTGTTCTGGGCGCGTTACATCTTTTTTCTGTTACCATCGTCGACTGCCGATACCAGGGTCGGACAAAAATGGTGCAACACCCCACAGCGTATGGTAACCCTACCCACCCCATCTCCTGTAAGATACAGAACAACACCTATTTCCTATCCGGAAAGATCAATGTTCGAACAACTTTAGGCCTTCAAATCTAATAATTACGAGAGCAAAGGGGACTCGTAGTACTGTAATAACTGTAGTGATTTTGACTCAATAAATGTAACAACTAGAGGTATGCTGTGATAATGAAGTGACATTTGATCATTGATCTTTTGTATCATAGACATGCATTGCCACGGTGTTGCACCAATATTGCCCACCTCGAGCACAGCGGCTTATCTGGGCCGATCTCCTCGGTCGTGAAACCGGCTAGAGTATTGTGCCCCGCTGGTACGGAAGGAGATATGTGAACATGGTGTCTTCAAGTTGATAGGTTGAGAATGGCGAACCATCCACCCATAAACCCTGTATAATCCTGGTCTCTTTTTCCTCTTGTAGTTCATAGATTTCGGTACCCCATGGGTGAGTAGTTGTTCGCCAGCGCATAGCGTCAATCCATACAGTACGACCTCCCCCATTTCGGTTTCTACTTCAAATGGAGAGGGGAGAGGAAGGGAGTACTGTATTTGGGTACAGTACTGTGCTATCGGAGTAGACGGGGGGGGGGGAGAGTATAATACAAGGGGATTATATTACGTTGATGTCGGGCGAGTGAATGGCCCCCACTGGCACGAGCACAGTGCTCGTACTGGTGCACTATTGTTACTCCAAAAGGTTCCGCGCAAAGCCGTCCATGAGAAAAATCAACACATTTCTAATTCTGAACACTCGTTCATTCACCGCCTTATATACGATCCGCGCATCCGTGTTACGGTACCGTACTCGAGTATTTGCCCACGAGGTTTCTTAATCTAACTTATAATAGCTCTCCGTTCTAGACATGCAATCCTACCCTCCCCTCCCCTACCGTATTAGCAACACATGGGGTCGGGAAGTGGACCGTATGCTACTCACCTCACCCCCGTGCTACCTTATCGGTTTTACCCTTTCTACCTATGGTATTACCGTGCTATTCGTATCATAATTGAGGCTGTTTTTTTCGTTCTTCTTGCGAGTTTTGGGAAGCCTCACATTCTCAATTATAGCTCCTGGGTGCTGGGGCCTTGTACTTGTACAATGGATGGATGGATGGGTGGGTGGATGGGATGGCGCATGGCACCTGAGCTCGTGCGCGAGGCGATGGTGGTAATGATGGTGATGTATGGCCAGCCTTGAGAGAATGGGGGAAATGAGGAGAATGGGGGAAACAATGGGATCGACGGTTAGTGCCGGAGGGGTGATGCTGAGCAGGCGAGTTTGAAACTCGTGCTTGGGTTGGAAGGATGGAAGGATGGATGGAAGGGGGAGGGGAGCTAGGTGAGTGCTTTTGTCGGGTAGTGAGGTCTTTGGATTGTTTATGTGATATTGTACTGTAAGTGTAAGGACTTGTGTTTGGTATGATACCGTGGACTCCAAGCGCGGTCGGATCGAAGCCGGGCACTTTGTATGGGAGTTGCCAGCATTAGTGCCCAACTTCAGCTCGGCCTTGCGAGTAATCTTTACACATATATAGTTTTAACAGTGCTTGTAGAATAGAGAGAGAGAGAGAGGCCAATCGTTTACACTGACAATACAATTGGTTTCGGCCAAATTCGGACACAGGGTATTTAACCCGACAAGATTGATAATCGACATGCTTTGTATTGGCATGTTAGAGAATTTGGACGACACCTGTACTGTACTGTACTGTACAGTGCCGGGTAAGCGAAAGTACTGTGAGGTACCGGTTAATTTGGTACGACAGAGCACGCCTTTGTTGTCTCTATTAGAGGTTCTCAACGCGAGGTTTACTACTTCTTTCTACTGGAAAGGCTAGGTCAGTTGCTCGAATGATTGGGTTCCTGGGGACCTTCCTTTCAGAGGACTTTTAACAAGAGTCTTTTATAGGTTTGTTGGGTGATTATCAGGGTGGGAAGAGCACAGGTAAGTATCGGAGATTACACAGCACAACAAGGCTACAGTTTCCATCTTCAACGCCGCATCCATAATCCACACGCCGGCCTTGACGAG